GAAGTTTATGTAAAGTTTTATAGAAAAAGTTGGTCGCCTCCTCAAGGGAGCCCTCATTTAAGGTTTTACTCCAATCTATGTGATCAAGTCCGCGACGCTATATCATTGAAATCACCATGGTTATAAAAATATTTAATCATCTTATTTACTTCCAAATGAGATATCCTAGGCATAGGGACGTCAATACAAAGTGATTTATGATGGGGTCTATCCTCTGGAACCAGAGGATCATCACAGCAATACACTGAAATTTCGCAATTAGAGAATACAAGATCAAGAAATCTGCCGTTATCATTACTTATATGACTATATTGAGATAAATTACATAGGGTTAAGATATCAAGAAAATCTACCTGTGGCCTAGTCAAGGACCCACTTGGTTCTAGGTGATCGTCAATGTTATGCCAGGAAATATTAGGAAAATTAAAATCCCCTGTTATTATAAATTTATCGTTAGGGCAAGAACTGATTATATCAAATAATTTGTTTGAGAAATTATCCAGTTGCGTATTTATTGAATTACCTTCATTTTCATTGCAGAGATAGAGGGTACAAAAATGAAATCTAAAAACCTCTTTTCGGTCGATCCGCTTGGGTGTTACTGTAACCCATAGCTGTAACCCAGATATCCTCGGCGGAGGAACGCCAATCTACACGACATGTTGCTTCAAGGTCACGCCGAACCGCTAAAAGTACACCGCCGCCCATAGACTGTCTAGTTGACCCGTAATTACGATCTCTTCTCCAGACAGAGTACCTATTGTCAAATAACTCTTGATCAAGTATACCATCGAGTAACCAAGTTTCTGATATTGAGATTATATCATAAGTGTTAAGACTTATGTTCCTTTTAAAAGTGACTGTCTTCGTCCGTAGTCCTCTTGCGTTTTGGTAGAAAATATTTAATTTATCAAACATCGCGAAATCTGAAGAGCAACGTTCAAAGGTAGGAAACGTCCGAAATTTCGAACGATATTTCGTTTTTCGGTGAATTAGAGTTGGCTTTCTGGAACAATTTTTTCTTCGATTATGATAATCTCCTTTTTTAAAGTAGTTTAATAAAACTTGCGGATTCAAAAGTTCCAGTAATCCGGTGCCGCTTTCCCGCTCTCACTGTTGCCGTTCTACAAAATGGATTGTTCCTAGACAATACTAGCAACGAAATAAGTGCAGGGGGAGTCCGGGAGACTTGCCCAAATGAGAGAATTGAACCACTTCTCAAAATTCATCGTAAATTGCACGCCAATAAAACATTAATACAGTCGTAGATAATGTACGGAAGACCAATAATATATGCGTCACTATTGTACAAAATGCCTGGTTTGTTAAGCTTTTAAGTTGCGAAATGTGTTTTGGTCACTACAAAATAAATTTTAAATACTTAGTAGTTTTGAGACTACGGCCGTCTTTATGGACGTAAGTATTGTGAATTATTTTTATCGTGTTTGCTGACTATTCTAGTTTGAAGTATGTTAATTTTTTTAACAGTAATTGAATACCTTTTCTACAATGAAAATTTTATGTCGAAGTGATGTATGCGGGTGAGTCGAACCACTGTTCTTGTTGAAGACATCAGTGGTTAATTATAACGTCTGTGGTGATGATTCTTCTGTCATAATACTAGCTTGCACTCAATTCAATATTATAAATAATAATAAAACAAGTGAACAGAAGGCAAATAACATTTAGAATAGTTTTTATAACTTTTGAGAATAACGATAAGTATCAATTGCACATAATAAATATATGAAAGCAAAACTTCGCAAAACACTCCAATAGAAAGACGATACTGAAAAAATAAACAAAAAATACTTAAACTCCTGATAATGAGTTTCATCAGCCTTTTGATCATATGTCCCTCATAGTGGGGAGAGTTGATCCATTTCCCATTTTTACTTCAAATTGGATTAGCAATTTACAATGCTTAAATATTGAAAAAGTAATGATGCAAAAACAAGCCTATATAAATTACATATGAATTAAATTTATAATCTAGTCTCTACAACAAATCTATAAGAAGATATGATAATTCAAGTAAAAAGAGGTTCAAGTCTTTCGGACTTCCCCTATTTAAAAATATCCCTTCTGATGGGTTAGAACCCAAATTTGAAATACATTTGTAATGAGTAAATATTTAAAAAAAATTAGTTGATGAAATCAAACTTGATGTCGCTAAGGTACTTTCTTAATTTTTCCGTGACAACCCTTCCGGTTTTCTTTCATGTATAAAATTAAATTAATTTTCAAAACTCAATAAACAACTTATATTCTATTTGTATTTGCAAAATTCTTTTATATGTCAGTGTGTGTGAGTGAAAAGGGACGGAAATGACGTTTCCTGCAAATCAACTTTGTTAGCATCGCCATCTAGTGAGGTGCTTTTTAGTGCTTTCTTTTTTTGAATTCTTCCTCATTATGTATTTCTTTCTATTTAAAATGATTAATTTAGAATGCCTTACCTTTTACTTTACTTTTACTACTCATTAATTGTATTTTATGGCAACTTTTGTCGCATCTCCGTTTATCACGTGAGGCTCGAAAATGGTCTGGGTTCGCCAAAAATCACGAAATATCACAAAGGGGACAGAGGGTGTAGTAATATATCACTTGTATTTATTTTTTCCTCCAACGCGGGATTACTAAACTGAAAACCTTGCACTGGATGGAAAAAACTAAACATTAAATAGCAGATTGTGCATACGACAAATAACAATTTAAATAATACAAAACAGAAGAACAGTTAAAACAGCGAAGTAGCACTACAAAAAAGTACATATAGTCAAATAAAATGCACAAAACACAAGTAACAACCAGAGCGCGAGAAGTGAGAAAAGAAAATAGAAAACCAGGCTTAACTTTTGACAGGAAATAGGATTTAAATTATGATTTGAAAGAATTTCAACAATTCGCTCGTCTTATAGATTAAGGTAGTGAGTTCCAAAATTTTATTGCTCATACTGTAAAATATTGACTATAGAATTTCCAGAGATTGGGAAGAATGAACAAGCGATAGTAATTAGAAGAGCGTAAACGCAAACTTTGCAAAAGCTTTATTGTATTTACCAATGTCCAATGCCTCGCTCGAGAGAATATTCTTTCAAATTAACTTAAATAAAACGAAAACTAGGAACAAGTTCCTGAACAAACATGTGTCCGAATAACTTCTAACAACGCGGAACGCGTAGACTATGCCTCTTATAAACCAACACAAAAAATGGCTAAAAAAAGTGTGATTAAATCAATTAATTATGAAAATAAAAAGTATGTAGGAAATGTTGATACATAAATTGAATAATTGTAGTTAATAAAATTATATCTCTGAATACTTAGTATGTATGTAATATAATGTAATGTATTTTATTTATTTATGTACAGTTCGACACAAGAGTAGAAAATGAAAAAACCAGACCAGACACTCCATACAACTGCGTCACTGTCAAAATGAAGTTAAAATGGATTTCCAAAAAAATTTTTGCCCTATAAACAACAGGGGTGCCTTAATTTATTTTCTATTTTTTTGTGTCGCACTGTACAAAATATAATGGCATATTTTTGTCACTTTCTGGAAACGGGTTTGGCATATTTTGAAGTCGTGTCGGGTGGATTTACTATACCAGTTTTATGTAATATCTAAAGGTCACTCTAATGAGGAAATATAAAAAAAAGGAAAGCACTAAAAGCACCTTACTAGATGGCGACTCAACACAAAAGTTGATTTTTGGAAACGAATGGACCAAAGATAGTCTTTTAACTGACATATTAAAAAACTGAAATTTGCAAAGTTCGTAACTTGGATATCATACAAATACGAAAAAGTACAAATAGAATATGAGAAGTTTATTGAGTTTTGAAAATTAATTTATTTTTGTACATGAAAATAAAACCGGAAATGTTAACATGGAGAAATCAAGAAAGTACCGTAGCGACATCTAGTTTGTTTTCGGAATCAAATTTTTTTTTGATACTTCCTCATTGCAAATGCAAAATTCATCAAGTAAATATTATTTCATACACTCTTGATATATTTTATCCCATAAGTACGCATACTGGTTGTTAAACGAAAAAAAAATACTAGTAATATTTGTGTTGAAGAATTTTGTTGTTGTTTATTTGGGAAAGATATTATTATTATAGCTTAGATTATATAATGACCAGATTTTTTTTTAAACGGGAGAAACTATAAAAAATATCAACCTCAAATATCACACAGCTTGCAACCCAATATACACCCTGAATACATAAGAACTAGTGATGTTCCGGATATCCGTATCCGTATCCGCGGATATCCGACGGAAAATAAAGATCCATATCCGTATCCGTATCCGTTACTTTACTCGCGGATCATTTACGGATCTTTTAACTTATTAATTTTCAATTGATAGGATGAAATGCTATATATAGATGATTAGGTAGATTTAAAAAACTATAAAATTCAATTCAAGTATTTTTTATTTCTTAAAATCAAATATTTGGCACCTTTATATTGCAAACATTTATCGTAGTAAGTTACTATATCAATAGTACATAACTCAAAGGTCAACTATCTTTATAATGAGATCAATATTATAGAAAGTTATAACATCACTTTTATAAATATAAGAAAATGAGAAAACCAAAATTTTAATCTTTTTTATAATTATAACGAGATCAATATAATAAAAAAAATATTAGTTATAAGATCACTTTTATAACTATGAGATGATGAGAAAACCAAAAATATATTTCTAATGAAGTAAATTAATACTGCGTACCTAGTAGGTACTACCTACCATATAAAGCGTAAACATTAAATTACATGAGCAAACACAGTGAAAATTAGAGGAACTTGAAACACATATATATATATATATATATATAAAGATCCGTATCCGTATCCGCGGATCTTGACACCAAATATCTGTATTCGGATCCGTATCCGCGGATATACATTTTTAACGATCCGGCACATCACTGATAAGAACCAATCACGCACGGCACCTGACTGACAACATGGCCGAACTGTCATAATCCATTCGTTGCCGTCGTTGCCGCGGCACTTTTTTTTCGTGAGACAGATTTTACTTTCTTGCTTACTTTATAACCAGAATTATTTTGTTGTGGTGATTATGTCTACCCGAAGGGCTAGAATTAAAGCCGTTACATCTTTACCACCAAGGAGGAAGAATGCAGATAAACCAAATGAGACAAAGGATATCCAAATACCGATAAAAAGCTCTCCAAAAGTGACTGCTGAAAGCAATGAAGAAGATGAAAAAAAAAATTCTAAATCACCTCCAGCTTTTTTATCATTACCGAGCCCTTCAACTTTACGTTCAAAAATAAATTCCCCATTGGCCAAAACTGCATCATGTACACCAAAATCTGTAACAAAAACTCCGAAACTTGCCGAAAAAGTATCAGTTATTACTTCGGCTTCTTCGTTGAAATCAGTGTTTGCTTCACCTCAACCTAGAACTGACAGCCCGTTAAGACACATTATGTCGCCCTTGGTGAGTGTGAGATCCACCCCTAAAATTGTTAATTTAGAACCAACAAGAGCTATCACTCCTCAAACAAGCCAAACTGGATCAAAAGAAAAGTTAAATAACAATGAATCTCAGAAAATCATTGTGCAATCTAATTCTGATAGTGAAATTGCTTCAGGTATTGTTTTGTAAAGTAATAGTATAATTTAATAGTATAATAGTATATATTAAATCTTCATATCACTATTTGCAGGCTACAATATTCCATCTGTACCTGAAAGAAATATATCTGAAGATGCTGTTATGGATGGCATTGTCCCTCTACAGCCAACACGTAATGCACCCAAGCCCATTGATTTACTGAAAAATGAAATTATATCTGAGAATGCAGAAGTGCTCTTTGATCCAATAGTGCCACTACCATCACCAAGTAAAGTACGACCTAAATTACGGCCTGTGCCGAGGCTTGCTCCACTCAGGAGAAACAGTATACAGGTAAACTTAATATAGTCATTAAAATGAATTCAAAGTCTAATTTTGCTAAACTCTTACAAATATGTTTAATACATACATATCATATGGCATAAGTTAAAGCTTCCAATTCCACCAATAGTTGCACAAACAGCCATTAAGGTTTAATGACATGTTTAAACACCAATGAATGTCTAATTTGTATGGGTAATGTCACTTAACTAATGAATGTTTGTGCAACTGGTAGACAGACATGTAAGTCTTAACAATTGTGGTGTGCAAGCTTATGGAGAAGGTTATAGTTAAACATATTAGAAACTTTTTAGCTCAAGATATTGCTAGTGTCCAACTGAAAGTTGTTTTCATGACTAAATTCAGCAAAAGTTTAGGCTGAAACCGAAACTTCCTACAAGGATCATGTTTTGAGGGAAAAATATAGAAAATGTTTTTATAATCAGTCAGCTTTTCAGTCAATTGCACAAACATCCATTAAAATTTTCATTTTCTTAAAGCAGCATTACCTATACAAATTTGACATTCATTAGGGCTTAAAGGCATTGTTAAACCTTATAATAGACGCACACGTAAGTCGAACGCGCATCAAAGTGATACTGCGGAAAAAGGAGTGCTCACACGGCAGACATTGTAATTATATGGTAACAATTTAAAAAATCGCCCTACTTCAATTGCATTTTCTTGAATAAGTTACTTTTAAGATAGATATTACTTTTCAAGTTTTTATTTCATGCTTTTATAATTTTTATATAATTGGTAACACCAAAAATACTTTTCTGAAAACACGACAGCTAATCGCGGACAATACATACAACACGTGTTAAAGTGCAAACCTCCATTTTTAGTCGGTTAATATATCTTAAACCTCCTAACTCTGACAAATACTATCAACATCGATTCAGCTAAACACAAGATAATCACACACAAACATTCGTACATACAGGTCAAATTGAGGACCTCCTTTTTACGAAGTCGGTAAAAAAGTGTGTGTGGTAAAAGTGAAAGAGTAAAGTCGATATTTTAAACTTTATCATTGTTTTATTTGTATTACAATTACTGTTACGATAATTATCATATAACTTTTTGGAATCCTTGTATTGAGCCCTTTAATTATATACCCATATTAATATTTGAAACAAAAACATTTTTATCATAATAAAAATAATGGCGTCGCACAGCCGCCATATTTGTTTTTTAACGTTACCTATCTAAGAACAATTGAACTACTAAGACAAATGTAACAATACCCCATTTATCTAAATCCCTGAAGATATGAAGTAATAAAGAATATTACATACATGCATATACAAGATATGTGCAAAAAACATAACCCTTTGCAATTGGGTAAAAACTGTCACTTCACTAAAGGGTCAGTTCTGTTTTATTGAATATTAAATAATGTTATTATCCTTAAAGTTCAAATACATTTGGTATGATTCTCATTGAATTGAGGTCACATAATTCTTTAAACCGATAATAGTTACTTATTTGCTCATGTGGTTTTTCACAATGGTTGAGAAAATATTTCTACGCTTAAATATAACTGTAGTGCCACTTTAAACAATGTATTGCGTAAACATTATTCAAGTAGTATTGATATAAGAGGAATGATTAATAACACAGTTGTGCCTATGCTTATGAGAGGGTACACACATATAAATCAAACCATTAATATCAAATTCATTGCAACCAAAACCTAAAACTAAAATTAAAAACCAAAATTATTTCAAATATGTCACCTGCATATGATGTAGCTTCTTATTTTTTTAATCGGTCCAGTAGCTTCAGAGCCTATTAAATGCAAACAAACAAACAATCAACTATGCCAATGAGGCATAGTTCATATTAAATTAGTTAAATAAACAACCAGTTGCATGAACATCCATTAAAATTGACATTATTTTTAAGCGAAAGCACTCACACAAATATTCTAATTGAGAACATTAGTTAGATCTTAAAGTCGCCATTAAACCATAATGAATATTTAAATTATGGGTTACAGCCTCTTTATTGTAAACTAATTTTGGAAAATATAATACATAGTTAAAATTGCCTGTCCTCTTCTGCTCTTCCTATTTTTAGAATTTTTGACTTAATTTTCAGAAGTTTAGCTCATTATAAATAAATAAATTTTCACTTAGTCTACAAGTTAGTGTTTGTTTTAGGGTAGTGCCAGTGAATCTGAAGATGAGAGCAGACGTGCACTACTGAGTAGCGGTGCAACGACCCCAGTGCCGCCCAGACAGCGACATGATTCCCACACCTCACATAGTACACTGCAATCACTCAGTAATAGGTATTTATTCATTTTAAATACTATATTATCACTGTATGTAATCACTGCCAATAATGTAGAGGGAACATTAAAGGAATGTTCGTGAGAAATATATACATTCAATAATTAATAATAATCCAACAACAAAGCCAACATGTGAAGTTGGACCTGTTCAGAAGATAAAAGGTACAATGGATCAGTGGCAGTACAAAACTCTTAGAGCACACAATGATGACGATAATTTGCCTGTACCTTAGATTTTTCAACATAACACTGACACACGGCCAATAGCATCAAGTATTTCCTTAGCGAACAGCGTATATCCGTTTTAGACTGGCTAGCAAATAGTCTAGATTAAAACCCGATAGAAAATCTGTGGTAAGAAAGTATACCAGTCAAAACGAACTATATGAAGAATTTGTTGAAACTTAAAAATTCAATCTCCCTAGAAAAATATATGAAATGATTGTATTAATGCCGTCGTTAACATGAGATACGCCACTGAATATTAATTATAACTATTGGTAGGCTATGGATAGTAGCTATTTCGTGAATAACAATACTATAATAGGATATTCTATAGAAATTTTATGTATAAAATAAGGTACATCTTTATGACTATTCTGACAGTTGTCGCCACAGTGACGTCACACAATGGCGGGACATGTTTCAAGTTACGTAACACTCAGACATAGAGTCATAACTTTCAAGATAATCGTGCGATTTCAAGATTCAAAATCGGAATCTCTATGTTTATAAAGATGTTAGTTTTAGTTTTTGTGCAATTTCGTGACTTATTTTTCACTGCCGAAACTACCCTATTACTAATACTTAGAAATATCGTTTTTACACTTTTTTGTTGTTGTTTCTAATTAGCTAACCATTATTGTTCATATCTTAAAACCTGTTTAAATGTTTGTTTATCCCTAATGTAATTTGAAAACTGCAATGAGAAAGTATTTAAAAAATAAACATTAGTTCTCGGAATCAAACTAGATGTCGCTACGGTAATCGTGGCAACCCTTCCGGTTTTCTTTCATATTTAAAAGTAAATTATTTTTCAAAACTCAATAAACAACTCATATCCTATTTGTTCTTTTTCGTATTTGTATTAATATCTAAGTTTCAAACTTTTCAAATTTCAGTTTTTTAATGTTAGTTAAAAGGAACGGTAATTACTGTCTTTGGTCCATTCGTTTCCTGCAAAAATCAACTTTTGCTAGAGTCGTCATCTAGTGGAGGTGCTTTTTTAGTGCTTTCGTTTTTGTTTTTTAAATAATTCCTCATTACCTAGTAGAATTTATATTGTTTTTTAATAAATGACAAATCGTTGAACATATTTTTATCCTATTTATTGATTAATTTCAAATAAAAATGATTGCGGTATAGTATATTTTTAAATATCAAGGGGATGAAGACTGGGTAAAAAAAAAATCTATTTAGTCCGTCAGTCAGATAAATATTACATACGTATCTTTTTTTTTTATTTAAACAAGAAATGGCTTAAATCATTGTAATTAAAGTTGAGTGGGGGCCGTTACACCACAGTTATGTAGAAAATTTGCAAAAGTGTGACATCAGGCGATATTTCAACTTGATGTATCGCCTTAATTTATTGATTACGCGAAAAATTAAAAAAATAGACCGGGTTTAATATTCTTCAATAACTACCTGACGGATAAGTAAACAAAAATTAGTCATCATTCCAACTATACAACCACCACTGTATATGTATATACAAAAATATATATACTCTACTGTTATTATTAGTGCATAATAACTAGCTTCTAAATTTATTAAATAACAATCATAGGGACATGAATCGGATGAGGAATGACTCTGTATCATCGAGCATTAGTCAAATAGTGACGCAGCCACCGCCAGCCACTTCACCTACTAAAGAAAAACAATTCAAGTGAGTATGACATTTTAAATAATGAAAAATCCTTACGGTAACTATTTCTAGATTTTTTTATTTTTATTTTTTTTTTGCTAGCAACATTGACTTATTTTTATTGAGTACTATTTTTTTGGCAGTATAATACTTTTAAGCGAAATAGTAACTCATCTAATTGTTTAGCAGCGGTTCTTAAATGCGTTTAGAGAGGGAACCAAATTTTAAGTCGATGCGCTAAAATAAAACAAAACCAAAGGTTTGTGTTTGTGCTTTGACTCATCACACTAGCTGAAATAAATATGAACAATATTTATACACTTTGCGGAGCCCGCGGAGCACATACTTTGAGAAACACTTGAATTTTTCTAGCACAATTTAGTAACTAACATTCTAACTTTCGTGTTAATTGACTAACTCTAATACATAAAATTCTCTACTCTAAAAGACTTGACCGATTTTGATTAAATTTTGTCAGTAGGTCTGATAATAGGTTGCTTCCTATTTCTATAACCCTCAGTGATAAGGCCGGTCCATCCACTTATATGGCAAAACAATATTAGTAATTGTTTACATAATACCAAAGATGCAAAAATTACTAATAATTTAGTTGTGTGTGTAAAAAAGTACAGGAAGATTTTTAGTCACCATGCAATTTTTTTGTAGGCATTAGATATCCTATGAAGACCCCATTAAAAAAAATAAGTAGATCAAGTTTTCACTTTGAAATATTTTTTTTTCTGATAAAATTATCAATTAAGTATGGTTACCGAGTATAAAAAAAACGCTTATGCAACGCGGGAGTAACGACACGAATTCGTCATTTTTCAGACAAATTCTAGATACTTTATCTCAACATATTTGTTTTAGCCAATACCAAAACAAAAAATATGTGTTCTTTGTTTTTCCTCGAAGATTATTATATTTTAATTTGGATGATGATATGAGATCATCCAGTATAATTATCATGTACGTTCTAGGACACGACGCCAAGAGATAAGTCGCCGTATGGCAGCGATGCGCAGACGCAGAGAAACAGTTAAACGAGACGCTCTCACTATGTACGACCTGATCTTCTACAATCCCACCACTAATCCCATTATGTAAGTACAGTCAACATATCAACCTATACAAAACTATCAGATTTCTTTACTTGTTTTTTAACCTTAAAACATACTACGTCCCAAAATGGTTCCATCTGAACATATGCTTTTTTACCTTTAAAATCAATTATATTAATATATCCAGATTTAAAATACATACCGTAAAAGTGAATCTACTGCAACGAAGACGTTTGTCTTAGTTGACATGTTCTTCATTCCAATACTCATTCAACTCCCGCCGAAAAAGTACAAAAAATTGTTCCGCAAAAATGAAGAAATACAGTGGAGAAATACGATTCTCTTTTACAAATATACAAAATATGAAAGAAACCTTTTTCATCTACATTTACTAAAATTCCGCGCTTTTTTTTTTAATATATAAAAGGTTTCGTTACCGAGCTAGGATGACCCTGTACTTCAACAAACGCTTTAGCCACTCTTTTATTCTACAAAAAACATCATTTTTATATGTATGTGTGTTCATTATGAAACTGTGTTCTATGAAAAAGTGTGCCCAGCGTGTGTGTGTGTGAGAGAGAGAGAGAAAGAGAGGGGGTAAATAGGTTGTTTGAAAAATATTATACATAATATTCAAAGTAGAATGCAAGTTACTAAACACATTCACAGCCCGGACCAGGACGAGATAAGAGCTAAAGAGGCCAACAAAAAGGACCAGGAGGAGCGTGAAGCGCAAGACACGGACGAAGATCCGGACGACCCGCCCGCGAACCAAGACGCGCCCGTACCGCAAATAAAACTGGGACCAAACGGTGAAATCATACTTGACGAGACTAGCTTGGTGAGTTTAATGTGTATGACAGGATGCTTCAAGACTAATATTAAATTGACTGTGGGCAAAGGTATACGGCTGATAAAATCTCAAATGATTATTCTCAATAACTTAATTTTCTTTTACTTTTCACAACGCAAAAGTTGTAGTTTTTAGCAAACTGCATTCAACTCATCATTTTAAAAAAATCTGAAACGACAAACCTTTTTAAGTGACTTTCAAGTACTGTTTGAAGCGTGCTTAACTTTAAATACTCAATTCAGAAACCATAATAAATTGGTTGATTTTACATAATAAAACTTTTACAAAATGGTAAATAGATAAATGTATGAGAATCACTTCATAGCGGATGGATGAGATTCAGAAATTTTACAATAATCGTAATAATTGGAGAATCATTATTCTAACAATCTCAATTGATAACAAAAATATTTTGAAGCTCTCATACGAGAAAGGTTCACGAAGAACACAGATGAGTGAGAACAAAAAAAAAACACGTTTTTTGTAAGGCTCTTAAAATTTATTTTGCCTTGGTTTTTAGTATTTGTTGTTGTTAAATACCTCATCTGCGAAAATTTCAACTGTCTAACCTTCACGGTACATAAGATATAGCCTAGTGACAGACGATGTGATAGTGAGGACAACAGCGAAGTCTTAGTAATAAGTTTCCCATTTTACCCTTTGGGTACGGAACTCAAAAAAATCACAGATCCAAAGCAGTGGGAAAATTAAGAGTCCGATGATATGAATACATTTTCAGGTAATAAAACAAACGGACAGCAAACGTAAGGTGTCATCAGTAGTTCGTGAGGGCGCTTGGGGCAGTGGCGGTGGCAAGTATACTAGATCTAATCGTGCCGCCGAATGGAGTTCCGCGGAAACTGTCCGATTCTACAGAGCCCTGGCTGCTATCGGTACAGATTTCACACTCATGGCGCCGCTATTCCCAGACAGGAATAGACGAGAGTTGAAGATAAAGGTGAGATTTTACTCCATTTTTATATAAGACACTATAATAAACATAGATTCCTAGGAAACCAATCTATGTAAGTAGCTAAAGCACTTCAGAAATCTTAAATAATGAAGGTCCCATAACAACTAGTTTAAATACACCTTTACAGTCTTTGTATGTGGATTTTTGAAGAGACTCAGTGTATGACTGTTATGTGTCAAAATAAAGAGAGGGAAAAAATGATTTATTGTTAGTTCAAAAAAGAAGAAAGAGTGAACGGCGCCCAAGTGGACAAAGCTTTAAGATCTGCTACTACTTGGGACGCGGTGCAATTGCAAAAGGAGTTTGAAGAAGAACGCGCTGAAGCGGCGAAAAAGGAGGAAGAGGAACGACAGATGTTAAAACAGCAACGGCAGGAGGAAGCGAGACGCCTCAGCCAAGCGAGACAGAACCACGTGCGGAGAAGTGAGTATATACTTTTTTACTTGGCAAGCAACAGGGGCGGACTTTCCAACCTGAAGGTAAGTGACCCGTGATTATGATCTCTTTGCTCTGTCAGTACTGGGCGGATTGCCTCAAAAGTGCGGACTCCGTACTCTGAGGCTGCGATCGATCACTCCCAGTCCGATATTAGCTTTGCTCTGTTCTCCATCTCGTTCGAGTTATCGCTTCTAACAAGAGTCCTTTTTCCCTATACCTAGCATCAGCACAGTTATAATATTCTGCCTTCATAATTTTTGCCAACAATAGGATATTCTACTCCGTTTGAAATAAAACTTGTAACAATTAAATTGAATTAAAATTTATACCCGCAACAACACTGTCCATCATATCCATGACATCATTGTGATATGTACACAAAACAGATGCATAGAGTATAAGATTTAAAGATGTCAATAAAACAAAAACAATGCCATCTAACGATCGATAACAAAATAAAATATATAAATAAGTTATTAGCAGCGCCATCTATTAGGTTAATTTATAAGATAGGTATATCTTTATGACTAATCTGACAGTTGTCGCTACAGTGACGTCACAATTGTGTGATATGTTGGACATGTTTCAAGTTACATGACACACAGACAAAAGTCACTATTTTGGTTTTAAGATATTCGTGCGATTTTAAGACTCAAAATCAGAATTTCTATGTTTATAACGTTGTAAATTTTAGTTTTTGTGCAATTGCATGATTTATTTTTCACTACCGAAACTACCCTATTCCCAATTTGTCAATAACCTACCCAAGGCCGCCGCTGCCCTCACCAAACGCGGGGTCATATCTTTAAAATGAGCGTTAAATCGCCTCCGTCCATCCAAAATCAAACCCAGGTACTTGAAGTCTGGTTTAATAGGTACCCTCATTCCGTTAATTTGAATATGGCTCCTGGGAATGGTGTAACTCTACGGCCGTGAAACACGCCTCTGTTTTTCCTACTGAGACCTCTAGCCCGATCATTAGTATGCGGCCCACGACGAGAGAAGTCACAAATTCTGCTAGATGCTTCAATTCCCACGCCAAACTCCCAAATTCCCTTCTTACGGACAGTTACGAGAGCGTCATCAGCATAACATTGGCCCGCGCGGGTAAGAGACCCGTAGCTCCACATCATATCCGAGGTTCCACAGGAGTGGTCCTAAAACCGATCCTTGTGGAACCCCACATAAGTCAGTATATACCCAATGTATTAACTTGGGCATATTAACAGCTAGCTTCTGAATTGAGAAAAGTACAAAATCTCAACTGATTATTCTCTATAATTTTAAATAAAAAACAACAACCTGTTTTAGTGACGTTTGAGACATGCTTTTTAAATTCTCAGTTCAGAAACCGGGTGTAAAACATGTTTTCATAATGATCATACTGCAACCTGATTGATTTGAAATCATCATGTGGAGCACTGGTAAGAACGTTTTTCCCACATAAGGTTAACATACGACTCATAAGAATTAATATGACACACGGAGGCCTGTTCTATTTCTCTGAAAACGAATTTCATCTACTTTCAGGATGCCAAGCCAAAGAAACATTTTCGATAATTTATGATGCAAAATTATAAGAACTTCACGTTTATTCATTACAAGTATTAATAACGTTTTATCCTCACAGGTCGCGCCTCTAAAGCAGTTGAAACTAATGTTTTACCAAACGTGCCTACTAGCAGAGAGCACGAAGGTCCTATTACGGCAAACGAAATAATACAGCGGGCACTCGAAGAGAAACTCGCCGCATCTAAGAAGCGGAAAGAAAATGCCGGCGCTAGAAAACAAGCGAACGTAAATAAAACTCCTTACGCAACACTAACGCGACAGAACGAAGTATCAAATAGCCCCACTAACCAACTCACAGATAAAGATATGGCGACACTAACTAGAGTAGAAGCTAGAACACCAACCGCCGCTCCTATAAACTTAAACAATATGACTTCGATTCCTCCTAATATAGAGTCAGGATCTTTGGTCGTATTAACAGTAAACGATCCCAATTCACCGTCGAAGAAAATGTTACAAACTTACATAGCTCATGGGGCAGGAAGATTGACACCAGTCGCTTTGCCACCTAATTTCCTCAGCACTGTTGTTGGATACATGAAGAAAGGCACGCCTAAGAGCAATTCCACTGGATCCCCTCAGTTAATTTCACCGGTGAGCACTAGTAGCACTCCCGGTGTCATACAGCTGAATCCAAGTCCAGCGAAAAGACAACGGCATAGTTCTTACACAATAACACAACTTTAGCAAATAAAAGAGAAATGAGAGAAAAGGGTTTAAAGGAGTATGAAATTTGGTCTGTTTAAATGATCTCATTTACGTTTAAACTTTGAACGCATGTATCTTTTTATCGATATGCATGGTATTTGTCATACAATCAAATGTTTCGCTAAATAAGATCTTTCAAATGATCACTTGAAGTGCTACAATACTAAAATAAATTTGCCCATAATCCTTTATAAATTTTTCCTGTATAATTTATAACTAACGCAATTTATTTTCTTTGAGGTACTGAACATAGTTAGGGATAAAAAATATTTTTTTAAATTATAGGGGTCGGTTTTTTGATCCATTGTCAAATGTCATTTAACCATTTTAACTTAACCACTATTATTAAAACGTTAACCATTTTTAACTTACTAATTCGTTTTTGATATTAATTGTAACTATAGACCATTACATTCTTTTTTGTGGGTGACAACACTACACAACACATCTACTGAATGAAATATCATTCTTGAGATTGAGATTTATTTTCAAATGTCAAACAGACAAAAAAATCTGTAGGTTACCTAACAGTGCGGATTTGTGTCGTTGTTATATATTCTGCGCACTACGCCACTTTCAAAGTATGTATTTTTTTGGTTTTATAGCAATTTATCTTATAAATAGGTACGTAAAAAAAATTATCGAGTGTACAAGGTGGGAATGTGAAGTTAAAAAAATAAATAAAAGTATGTGTATTTTATACATTGTAGGCACAGTTACCTTTTTTATTGTCTATTCGTGGAATTCATGGTTTTTTTTTTTCAAATTAAATATCTAATTTGAAGGGTACCATAGTTATAACTTTTAAAAAGAAGAAATGAATTCGTTATTAATGCTGCTTATGGATGACTATGCTATTTTGTGAAAAAGCTGATCTTTTCAGAAAACAAAGAATAATCATGAAAAGAGCTGACGAAAACTAATAATTTTGATACTTTAAAGAAAAATTGTTTAACATAGGTATATGCACTTGGAAACGAGAAAACAAATAATTTTATATGGTACAAATATACTAAGAAGGACCATGACAAAAATACGACTTATCTTCAATAACCCAAAAATTACAATGAATATTTTGCTACACTTTATGCATCATAAAACAAAATCCCAAAAGTAACTTGTGCCCAAATTCACTATGAATCATGTAGGTAATAAAAAAAATGACAAGGGACCAAGTAGGTACTATGCAGTTGTAAACACCTGGCACATTTGTTATTTTAACCATTACCTTACAGCTTTTAAATTATATTTATATAAGCTTTATTTATTATAGATATTAAATTAATAACCAATAATCTGAAATATGTTTTTGATATTAAACCATTAGTTGAAGATTTTTACTTATTGGTTGGTTGAGTTAAATGCAGATCAAAAAACCGACCCTTAAAAATATATTTGAGTGAACAACTGTGTTGTTACAATTACCATTTCAAAATTGTCGATGCCGAGGGTTGGGCGTTAACCTTACATAATTAAAGCATTTACCTACACTAGTGAAGAGTATATTATTGATAGATATTGAATCGAAACAAAAAAAAACTCTTAAAATAGCAGCCCAGCGACAAGCTGTCATCAGAATGCAAACAAAATAAATGCGATGTTTTTTTTAGTTTAAAAATTATTTATTAAAATCCAAAATTGTACTTTAAAATCTAAGTTGTTCTTTTAAATTGTATTTGATATAAGTGTTTTTATTATTTTTGTGATGCTATAGATGTATTTTAAAGTGCTTAAACAAGACTGACTAGTATACAGTTTGATTATGAACGCTTAGTAGAGGAATATCAATTGTGTATAAATAATTATATATATATATATATATATATATATATATATGAATAAAACAATCTTTAAAAAGATTAAGAGACCAAAAGTTGCGTTTTAGCAATTAATTATGGTCAATTTTAAATGGTATAATTTATTGCAGCTGTTGTTTTTCTGTAATGTAATATAAGACTGTTGTCATTATACTTTTTTTTAGTTAATAGTTGTTTTATTACCATAGCTTTACCATATTGTTACGTAAAAGGTTTAAAGAAACGAAAATTATTATTTTGATGTTTCAGTTTCACAGAAAATGGAATATATGGCGAACATGACATCGTCATCTAGTGACATTTATTAGAACTTAGTTTATAAATATATTTTTTTCCCTTCAAAACGCATATAAATGTCTTTTTTTTTCTATATACATTCTATTTGTATTATCTTTAACAATGTAATAATATAGCTCAGTTTAGTTTTATTGTTTTATCTATTTCCCCAAAATTCAAAATTGACATAGTTTGTTATCGTTTCTTAACGTATAAAGACCACAATAAATGCAAATAGGCCATGAATTAAAAAAAAAGGATACTCTCTCATAAAACACTTCATGTTGCTATCTTTAAAAAAATAAAATTATTACTTTTTAACTATCTTTTTATAAGACGTCTTTTGCTTTTTTTCATTGTTGAATTATGAACTTTGTTGATCATTATAATTTTGATAAAGTTTCCACTTCATATCAGGTATAAGCTCATATATAAGAGTTCGCGAGTCAAATGTCCTTCACAAAATACTAGAAAAGAAAAAAATGAAATACCAAAATATACTTTAGATTATTTACTTAAAATTAGTTTTATCTTATCAATTAGATTCATTCGCGCTCTATCAATGTGCTTCAACGACTTCGTGCGGGAACCACTGCGACGCCTCCAAGCTGTCCCAAAGAGACAACTCTGGATCTAGAAACTCTTGATTCAATTGGTCTATATCTAGAGAAGTCTTGTGATCTGAAAATTCATATAAATAAAGTATTACATAAACTTTAGTACAGTCAAAATAACTAATAATGGTAATGGCTAGTCAGAGTTAGTGTCTCTGAAGATAAGATTCTGATATAAATGTCAAATAAGTTGGCGCAATTAGTGTATGCTAAGTTATATTCACAACATCATGTACGCATATACGCGTAATACTGTTAATTTTGAAGGAAAAATATGGTTTTTGAACTGTCAAACAAAATATGAATTGAGAAGTAGATCTGTAAAAGTACATCATTGACAAATGTGGACAATTAAGAACAGGCCCTTACAGTCTCTATGCTCAATTCATCTAATGTTAACATCATTATAGCATATCAATGGCGTTTCTTAAGCAGCTTTTTGACGCAGTTCTTGTCACTATATCACAAAATTAACAACGTAATCTTTTACAGTTCACGAAATGTCAAGTTTCCGAAAAATCCAAATCTCGATATCTTTAACATAATACTCATAGCTTTGTTGAATACACAAATCGATGATTTTTTAAAGATATTTTGAGTGTACGTGTTATGCGACCTCTATGGTTTTGTGTACCACGTTGACTCAAAATACCTACAATAATCACATTATTAATTTATATATGATTGAACACCTCAGATTTTTGATATTTCGGGAATTACATTTCACGAACGTTCAGTTCGCGCTTAGTATACTCACCAACTAGCGCCAAATCGTCATTCTGAGCCTTGACGGCGGCGGCAGTTTGCACCGGTTCCGCGACCGCCACCGCCTGCGCAGCCGCGGCCGCGGACTGGTCCCCCTGCCCATAGTAGCCAGACCACGCTGAGTAATTTTGCCAATAGGCGGACGGATCATAATATTGGTTGTACTCCTATAATCATAACTACTCATCAGTACAACTGTTAAACACTCCCGTATAGCCATGATGCAATGCTGTGGCGGCAATCCTTTAAGCAGTATTCCATAAGCGAAACTTTAGATGGTTTGCTATCAAATCACTTAGCAATGGCAAAATGATAAGTTGCAATTATCTTTAAAAGCATCGATGCTTGTATTATATAAAGCTTCACAAGTAGCTAATATGCAGTTTCTAGATTTTTCACTGTAGCATTTTAGTAATGTAACAATCACAAATTTCTATAGTTACGTGATAATTATTACACAAATCTAATCTTATGGAATTACTAATTATTTAGTAGTAGGTAACTAATTTAGATCTAATGACTTAAGGGGATATGCATCAGGCAGAAAGTTGTAGATCTGTACAATTGTAGATAAATCAATAAAAATAATTAAATATGAACCACTTTTTTCAACTCACTCCTATGCAACTCTCAGTTTGATAGGAGAAGCAGAAGTGGATAGCTATCCTTATCTGATGAATATTTTAGTCTAAATTACTTGTAATTTTTTTATCCTTCTGGCATATATTTGAACTGGACAGAAGACGGAAGAAGGAATCCTCCGTTCCTCTAACTGTCTAACACTCACTTGTTAATAAAATTCCAACCAACGATAGATGGTATATGAATGAACAGACTTCATTTAAATAACTCACGTAACAAACATTGAAACTTTATCAAATTAGTGATCCTGTAATAGTTTTTCTTTATAACTATTAACCTGCCAACCTTCCATAAAAAAGGCTTTTTCAAACGCTCAATTAAATATAAAGTTGCTCAAAACAGTGTTATTTAGGCATACATAGGTAACTAATGATATTATTTTGCAAGGCGTTTTCATTCACTATATTATTTTACCTTCTATAGAATTCAATTACAAAATAGCAAATGTCAATGCAATTGGCGAGTACTATCAAATGTTGCAAACGTCAAGCAGCAACCTTTGATTCTGGTGACATCCAAAAGTTATTATAAAATATACTATTTCTTTCTATTGTTCTAATGTACAATACGTAAATAAAAGAACACTATGGCACAGGTAATAGAATCGAAACTTTCATATTAATAAATTCATCACTGCTTGACGTTTTTTAAGATGAATATAAGCATACCGTTCCACTGTTATAACTAGCACTCGTAGTGGTTGTTGTCGTTGTGCTTTGTGTAGTTACTATTGTTTTAGGTTTTGGTACTGCAGTACAAATTTTAAGAGGTTTGCTGCCGAGTCCTGTGTAACCGTTCATTGCGTATAAAGCATTTCTCTGTTCTTCTTCATTACCAAACCGGACGAAACCGTATCCTTTTGTATAACCTGAACTGTCCAATATCACTGCAATATAGGAATATCAGGTTAGTTTAAAAATGATTAAGAAGACTACAATATCTACTATAAAACAAAATCGCGTCCCGCTATCTGTATACTGAAATCTTTTAATGCAGTCATTCAGTCAATGGCCTTTAATGCAGTCCTAAATAATCAAGGGGAGGTTTATGTGGAATATAGGGCCACACAGACTAAACCGCTGTAGGGAAAGCTAGTGAATAAAATATATTTCCAAATAACATATATTAATGTAGACAACTTCATTTTTTTAATAATGTATAATTTTAAAAGTAATGAACAAGCTGAAGGTATATTAAAAAAAATCGATCATCAATCTCTAGGTGCTGTAGTCTCGACAAAGTTAGCGATCGCAGAATTCAGTCGGCTTTAAAGTTTAGTATTCGTTGAGTATATACTGACTTCAACAGTCAAATTAGCGATATTCGGTAGTTTCTTAACGAATGTTCGATCATTGATCTTTGAGATTACAATTTAACGGTTGCTATCGATGTCGAGACTACACCCCTAGGTACTACGAATTTATCATAAATAGCAACATTTTAAGGAACTTCTTTATTATATCTACTATGATATCCAGATAGAAAAAAGATATGATTTTGGTAACCATTTCAATTTTTGCTGTAACGGCTACTAGTGGTATGAAAAATTATTATTGATATTTATTATTTTTTTAAACACTGAGTAAAAGACTCAGGTGCCAGATGTCTAACTGAGTTACTGAAAACCTAATGGCAACTGGAAAAAAGAATCATCATAAATAATATTTGATCAATTTTGCATTCACAATGCTATACTGAAAAAGATTCTTAATAAAAATTCTTAAAAAATACACTTTGTCCCTGGCATTTTGAGACAGATCTCAAACCCATGACCTTTCATTAAGACTTAAATGCATTTTATAATAGGGAATTTACCAAATATTATGGCATTTGCTTTATTCTTTGTAACTTTTCAATTAATTTTTATTTCTATTTTATTTCATTGTTTAATAATAATAAATCAATATAGACAACAGCAATTTATGAGCTCAAATTTATTATACCAAACCTTTGGCAGTTTTGATGGATGAGTATTTTGAGGCAAACACTCTGTAAAGTGAGTAGTCGTCGACATCAGGACTGAGGTCTCCTACCCACACAGAGAATTCTCTCTCGTGCTGCATGTTTGACCTGGCTTCTCTGGATGCCGTATTCAAACGGAACCTAACTACTGGGAAAGTGCCTGGTATTGGTTTACCATTCAACTTATGCATAGCATCAACCGATTCTTCATCTGTCTGTAAATTAATTCAAGTACAATATATTTTTACATATAAGTAAAACAATACAAAAACTTAAGATACTACTTTAATGCTTACTTTATTACAATTGGATTAAATAGAGGCGTTATAGGTAATTAATATATAACAACTGTTTCAATATCCAATTTTATTAATATACGAAATGAAGTTTGCGAAAGGTTATGGGTTCAAGTCCCATCTCAGAGTGCTAGAGACAGAGTGTATTTTTTTAAGCATTTTAAATCCCAAATCCCTTTGAATTTTACTGTGGAAGAATGTGAATAATACAGTTCATGTAGAATCAAAGATTTGAACTAAAAAACACCAAAAGATGAACGAGTTTTACATTTTCACAACCAAGACAGGTGCCAGCCTTAAATATACAAATTTCTCACTTAAACTGACTATTGTATATTACTCAGCAGGTATAAAATAGAGATGAAACGGATATCCGGTTACTATCCGGTATCTGGCCTATCCAGCCTTATTTTTACTATCCCGATACCGGATAGGGTGCCAATATCCGGCCGCATACCGGATAGTAAAATAAACATAAATCTCATTATTTTACACAAGGAAAATTATACCACTTACATACATTTAAAATTAGTTTAGTACTCCAAATTAACAAGTGGCAAATTGTTGTGAATGAATACCAAACTTTCTGCTTTTGTTGGTAAGAGGTGACTCCCCTTTGCTTCATATACCAGGCCAGCTTCAGGAAATTCCTATTTTAATTATTTGCCCGAGTTTATGTTGGCAATTTTATCTCTGCCACACCCAAATGTTTAATGCGAAAGAGTTTTTAGCAAAGTAAATGATATAAAAATTAAAAAATGGTATTAACTCCTTATGAGAACAATTAAAGCAATTATTTTATCACAACAAGCCATACAGTGTTACAAAATAAATTGTATTGTTTTTGTTCCCATCGATACAGTGTTTCAAAAGTATAAAATAAATATCTATAAAAATACCGAAATAATTATACTGTCCGATTCCAACTAATAGTAATGTGTTTTTTCTACTCTGGCCCATAATATATTGCTAAATATTCATCCGGCCAAACCACTATCCGTTACATCTCTAGTTTAAAACAAGAACATATTGTATAATATTTCAGTAATTTTCAAAATAAATATAATATCATACCTGAAAATGCACAAAAGCATAACCTGCAGGTTCTCCTGTAAATTTATTACGCATTACTTTTACAGCTAAAGGGCGTTGCCCCATTCGATGAAATGCAGCCATAATAAAACTCTCTGTCATATTTGGCTCCAACTGAAAAAGCAATTACAAAATTTCAATTGTATCTATTATAAATATTCTCCCTGCTGGTGTCCGTATTCTAGTGTGCATATAACCCAGACCTATTAAAGGCAAGAGTAAACAGAATCCCTCTGGGCAAGCTTGTCTCACCCTAGATCTTATTTGTGTCCTTGGGCTAGATTGAAGTTAAAAACAAGCAAATTATAAATAAAAAACATTACATCCATGGTTCACAAATGGTATAATTACTATACTTGCACTTGAATTCTACTCCACACAGGGACATTATATATAATATGTAGTATGCTGCCAGTTCGCTTTATTATTTCCAAAGTCTCAACGTTGTTCTGTTCATATGGCAACATATTTTGAAAACTGAATATGCCCTTACTACGAGGATCTGGAGTCCTCGTAGTAAGGGTGTATTAAACATCAAAACCAGCTTTACATCGTGAACTACTCTGCCGTTGATGAAAACAGCGGATTTTCGTAATTTGACAGATGAGATGCGGCGGGAGACTTAATTTGTAAATTTAATATTGCTTGATATCTTAAGTGAGGGACAATACAAAATATTTTTTTTATATTCATGGTATTTTACCAAATAAGTAAGGAATAAACAACGCCGAATGAAACACATCAAAAACTTACACTGCCCATCCATAATTGGCACTGCATCTTAGGTTAATTGCTTTAATAAAGTACAATGAATATATCTCTTTGTGTCTCAAATTAATCTAATATAATTTTATTTGTAGATTATCAACCTTCCTAGAACCACAAAACAAAACCTCTGCACAAAATCTCAAATCCACAAAATACTTCAATAATCTGTGATCATTTGTGACCACAGAACAATATAGGTACTCTATTGTGACTTCAATAATATTTAGTGATGCGACTCGAGTCCTGTTTTAACTCGAGTTACTTGAGTTTATTATTAACTCGTAATCGAATACTTGAGTATGACTCAAGTGAAATAGTTAATGAGGAAGTTTTAAAAAAATAAAAAAACTTAAAAAAATTGTCATTAGATGGGAGCAAAAATTGTAGGAACTTTTTTTTTTCAATTGTAGGATCTAAATGTCAATTCACAATGTTAGACCAAAGTGGACCAAAGAGTTTAGAATTGTAAGTGTTATTATCGATCTCGGATTAATATCGAGTTGCACTATAATTGCACGGTAACTGTGTAACTTGTGAGCGCCTTTTTTTTCAATTGACGGTAATATCACAAGTGACAAGCGGAACCACTTGGATCCTATTAGACTTGATAGACTGAAGAATTGGGACCTGTAGGATGTATTATCTATTTTCTTAACTTTTTAATATAATAAATACATTTAGAATATAAAATCTTCTTTTAAACCTGAACTGATATCGTCATAAAAATATTTTTACGAAAAAATATCGTTTCCAATGGTATCTTTTTTGTTTTTAATAAAATGGATTTATATTTACATTAAAATTTACATATTCATCAGGTTCCGATTCAAATCGGTTTAAAAATCAATCATTTTAATAAAACAACTGGCCAAAAAGTAAAGTACTTACAGCTACCGGCCCTAACCACAAGCACGGACGTTAAAAAACCGGTCCCAAGAAGTTTATACCAGCCCCATAAACTTCCCCTGGGCTTCCCCAAGAAGTTTAATAAAATTAATATTCTTGGTCTTCCCATATGCTATTATCAAAGAGTAAAATAATTGTTAGAGAAAAGAGGTTTTGAAGACAACCTTTTTCTTGACAATAATTTTATTCTTTTATGATACTGTCAACTACTGTTTTTGCTTGTTCTATTATTTTGTCTTTTTTCACTGTCGTTAGTATATATAAGTCATTCATTAATATATATATTTTACAACCAAAATATATTTATTATTTGTTAAAACCATATAAGAAAAGATATAAAGCGCGTCTTGTGGCAAAAGGCTTTAGCCAGAGATGCGGCGTTGATTATGAAGAGACATTCTCCCCGGTGGTAAGGCACTGTTCCTTAAGAGTCCTCTTAGCCTTAGCAGTTAAGATTGGTTTAAAGGTAGACCAGATGGACGTGAAGACAGCGTTTCTAAACGGCGACTTAAATGAAAGCGTTTACATGAAACAGCCTGAAGGCTTTGAAGAAGGAGATAAGGACTGTGTGTGCCTTCTCAAGAAGTCATTGTACGGGCTGAAGCAAGCCCCAAGAGCCTGGAACACAAAACTACACACTGCTCTTCTACAACTCGGTTTTAGAAGTTCAAAGAATGAACCATGTGTGTATATGAGGTCTCAAGGCAAAAAGATCATTATCTTGGCAGTATATGTCGACGATATGCTGATTTTTTGGAATGACAAGCAGGAGTTACAAAAGGTTAAAAAGGACCTTATGTCCAAGTTCGAGATGAAGGATCTGGAAGTGCAGAGCTCATACTGGGCATGCGATTAACTCAGAATGAAATAGGAATTAAGGCTGATCAGAAGAAATATATTCAGAAGATTCTGAAAAAGTTTGAGATGGTTGACTGCAAGGCTGCATCAACTCCTTCAGTTCCTGGTCAGAAGTTGGAAAAACCAGGACCAAAATATAAACCTGATCCTAAAATACCTTACCAAAATTTAATTGGTTCACTTAGTACCTTTCTGTCTGTACGAGACCAGACATAGCACATGTTGTGAACTGCTTGAGTCAGTTCAACAATTGTTATACGGAGGGGCACTGGACAGCTGCGAAGCGGGTGCTCCGGTATTTTAAAGGTACACAAGACCTTGGACTGCAATATAAGAAGACAGGGTTGAAAGACATTGTGGGCTTTGCTGATGCAAGCCATGCAAGCTGCTACGATAGAAGATCCTACTCGGGTATAGTCTTCAAGCACATGGGAGCTGCTATATGCTGGGAGAGTAGAAAGCAGAAAACGGTAGCTCTGTCGATAGCAGAAGCTGAATATGTGGCAATGTCGGAAGCTGCTAGAGAAGCAATCTTCCTGAAGAGATTCGTTGCAGAAGTCACTGAGCAAGCTGAGGTTGCATTGAAAATTTACAGTGACAGTCAATCTGCTGTTGCCATTGCGGAGAACCCTGTGCATCACCAACGCACTAAACATATTGACGTGCGACATCATTTTGTAAGAGAGGCAGTAGAGTATGGTCATGTCGTGGGGTGTTGGGGGGTTGAGTACGCTCTGGTATGCGGCGCTGAGCTATAGACTCTTCCCTCAAGTCCATCATACACGTCCGCGTCGTACACCCTGGAAATGCTTTGGGATCGCAACGGGCGCCGCATACTTACCATCTACCCCGGACCCCAAAGCAGCCAAGTATGGGGACGATGCCTGCAATGGCAGTCCCACCTTGCAGGCAGTCCTGAACCCTCAATCCCGTCAAAATTCCAACAATCCCATCCCTCCCATTCCCCTCCTAACCTTTCCTTCTATCCTATCACAAATCTTTCCTGGAGGAGACAACCTCGACTCCAAAAACCCCAATCCAAGGTGTCAATCGTACCGTGCCGAGGGATGAATGGCTGAGGGTATCAGTCTTGAACGGTGTCTCTCCGAAACCAGGGTGAATCGGAGTAGTAAATAACCCTTCGGGCGACATGCGGGGCTCTGTCGTTCGTGACCTTTTATTTCCCTAGCTACTCGTGGGTACAATATGGAGAAGGATAAAAAAAAAACCATTAGCCTAAACCCTATGTCTTCCGTTCTGGAATCCATCCAGGACGGAATGAACCGTGATGAGGCGAAGAGGACTGCAAAGGACTCTGGAACGCCCATCAGTCTATCCCCTACAACGGAGGTGGAAGTCGTGGTCGAAGGAGGCAACTCTGGATCGCCCGACGCCCCATCCGAAATAGAGGATACGAGCCAAGGCAGTCAGCGTTAGCGACTGTCTAGAGCAGCACGGAAGCGTCTCCGGAAGCTAGTGGCAGAAGCAGGGGTAGCCACAGAGCAAGCCCTTGTGTTATGCCGCAAGCCATGGAAAGACATTCCGATACCGAAGCCGACCTCTGTGAAGACCCTCAAGAGGGACAGATCAGAGGAAGACTCTCCTAAGGCGCACATCAGTAAAGTCGCCAAGTTAAGCCTTACAGCCACAGGCGGCCCAAAGCCCCTTAGCTATAGGGAGATGGCGGAGACCTCCAGAGTGGGGGTCCGGAATTCGGAACCCATGACGGAAGCCCAGATGGCGCTCGTACATCGTCACCTCATCGTGGCCCTAACAAAAATGGACGCGGAGGGCGATGGACCTGAATTTGTCGGTTTCAGTCACAGGACAGGATGGGTACTGGTTACCTGCGCGAACCAGCATAGCCATGACTGGCTTGTGGCTGTAATACCAAAAATGAAGCCATGGCCTGAAGCTCAGTTGACCACTATGTCGGAAAGCGAGCTTCCAAAGCCGTCTACGGCAACGACTTTTGTACCCAAGACGGAGGGTGCCTCAGTTACTGAGGCATTAGCTCTGTTGAGGGTACAAAATAAAGGCATTAATCCTGGACTCTGGAGGGTCCTAAACGAGAAGGAGGAAAAAGGAGGAAGGCTTGTCACCTTCTCCATCTACGAACCTTCCGTTGAAGCCCTCAAAGAGAAGGATTACTGGGTGACCCTCGGATTTAAGAGGGTTTACTTCAAGATCAAGGGCGACCATCAGGCCCCTCAGCATCTACAGTCTTCCTCCGAACCCCCTCCTGCCGCCGAAACAACGCCGTCGACCAGCGGCACACAGAAACCCCAGGGCTCACAACCTCGGGGTGGAAGAGCGCCGGTGGTCGTGGGCGGGGGCCGGCGAGGGAAGGGTTAGTGTGCAGCTGGAGTGGCAAAACCCCAAAACCCGAACGCTAAAGCGCGACCTCTAGCGGGAGGATCACGGGGTGCCGCGAAAGCTGCCAAACGGGGGAAATAAAATGGCCAACCAGGGGGCTCGGGCTAGGATTCTGCAAGCAAACCTCCAACACGCCGCTGCTGCATCCGCAGTAGTGGAACAGTGCTTTGCAGAACGAAAGGTCGATCTTGCCCTGATTCAAGAACCCTGGGTGCATAACTCAACCATACTGGGACTCAAAGCCGCTGGTAAGGTGCTTTATAACATTGATGGCTTGAAACCCAGGGCGTGTATTGTTTTCAGCAAAAACACTAACTATTTGCCTGTTACAGAGTTGTGCACAGATGACCTTGTAGCAGCATTTATCAATCTCAAGGGATGGCACGGGCCCAGAGTGCTCGTGTGCTCGGCCTACCTGCCCGGACATAAAGCTGACCCAACTGCTGAGCTCACACCCGTGGTCGACTACGCCCGGAGACATCGTGCTGAGCTGCTTGTGGGGTGCGATGCGAACGCCCACCACACCGACTGGGGAAGTACTAATATTAATGACAGAGGTGAGTTATTAAACAATTACCTAGTAACCAATTGTCTTCAAACTTTAAACAATAGCTGTGAACCAACTTTTGTAACTAGGACGAGACAAGAAGTGCTAGATATTTCTTTCGCCACTAACAACCTGGCCAGGCATGTAGAAAACTGGAGAGTTAGTAACGAAAACTCAGTGTCGGACCATAGGCATATATGCTTAGAACTAACATCGGAACTAAGTACACATACTAGTGCATTTAGGGATCCTAAGCGCACCGATTGGGATGAATACAACAAACGCCTTGTACGGAACTTAGAAGTAATTCCTGAATGCATTAGAACGGTTGAGAGCATTGAATTTGCGGTAGAAGCGGTCTCTAATGGCATTAAAGATGCCTTCGAGGCTAGCTGTACACCCAAAATCAAATCATCCAAACGGAAAGTACCGTGGTGGAACTCAAAGCTGAAAAAGCTTAGGGAGAAAAC